CTTTCTTGAAATTTAAGATGCACTGGAAATATACATATTCTTTTAAAGCTTCTGGTGTCTGAGAAGGGAGATGATAACAAGGAACAGTGTGTGCCAGCTAAGTGGCTGGTGTGACCCCATCTTTTCATACTGGCAAGCTTCTGGCTTTACTGTGAACAGTTCTTTAGTACTCCTTGTCTGAGAGCACACAATGGCCTTTACAAAAACCTATCTAGTTACTTACTTTCATGGGTGACCTAAGCCCATTTATTATATTCTCAACCAACCCAACTCAGGGGAGAATAGGAATTAGTTGCAAGGCAAAAATATCCTTTAACCATAACAGCTTGCTTCTCCATTTATTTTATTAATGAGAGTTCACAATGTTTTTGTAAATAGCTGTATTAGGGCTCTGTATGCACTTTGTGTAGGTGTAAACAAGAGACAAAGTCTGTGAAGGGTCAGATGTCAGAATCCTAAACTGCTGTAATTACTGATTTTCATCTGTGTACCTGCTCTTGGGCTAATACAGAGTAATTCATTAGCTACATGGGCTGGACACAACACTGAAGTGACCATCTCCAGCAGCAGAGAAACTAGCTATGAAATGTGGTGACTCTCATAACTACCCAGTGTGATTTCCCTTCACCTGCAGGAAGGACTGAGGGCATGTGATCCTTGACCACAACCTTCACCGCTCTTGCACCTGTATGGCACTGCTGGTGGCATGAAGGCATGGGAGCAACTGAAAAGTATGATGTCCTCAAACAATGCCTCTGAAAATATTTTCCTAAGATTTTTACTTTGCTTTTGTCACAAAAAGGAAGACTGGAAAACAGTTTGAGAGCTCTTTAAGACAAATCCTTTTGTGCCTTTCCTGCAGATGCAGGTAATTGCAGAGAGATTTGGGATCAGTCTAAATCAGATCCTGCCCATTAAAAAATACATCTCAGGGTTGGATTTGACGTGCAGTGTTGACATCCTTTTTTCTATAGTGAGGCAGATGATATGCTTAGCAGACAGCTACTTTGACAACTTCCCTTCTGAGGAGATGAAGGAAAGTGCTGAAAATTTCCTATAGCATTTGATATTTTATGGCCTAATCTTTATAAAATCCAGGCACAAAAGGGGGTCGCATTTAGTGCTACCACAAGCAGATGCAACTCCACAGATATCAGTAGAATTGCATCTCATTGTAGTTTTGAAGCTGGACCTCCCTTTGATGAAATGTGTTGCCTTCTTTTTGCATGGGGAGAAGAGAGTTGCCCTCTTCTGAGCTTGATACCTATTCTGTAGTCTTACATAAGGCAGCAGGATCTTTCCAAAACTGTAGTTTCTTTCTATTAGGAGAATCACCTGTGCAAACCTGTCAAGAAATCATGTATATAAAAAAAAATTATCATATTCAAACCCCTAGGAGGAAGTAATGACATATTGAATTATCTATGCCTTTTGTATGTTTTTTGCTTTCTTCCTTTCATTTTATTGCACTAAAACTTACCTTCTGTATAGCTAAATGTCCATGTTATGTGATAACATCTAGCTTCAGTAACAGATCCTGAAACCATTGTAAACAGCTATTGAACCAGACTTGAACTGCCAGATGTGCTCACTCAGAATGAGTTGAAATCTGGCAAGAGATTTATAGAAGCACAGATTTTCATTGTACCACTTCTTTAATGGAAAATTCCTAACAATTTTCCGGTAAGCTGATTGCTAGGAATATACCTTTCAAAATCGTTATGTATCTGGCTTGTTTTCACCTGTACTGGTTTGAATCTTATCACAGCGTATACCAGAACTTACCTGAATATCTGAGAAAAATGCTGAATTTAAATATTTATAAAATTTTTAGGGTCACATGTAATGAAGTGACAATGTGTTTTAGCACAACTACAACTGTGAATACTTTCAGTATGGCTGATGTAAGGTCTGTGATACAGTTACTTTATCTTCTCCAAAGGTAAGGGTAGATGAAAAGGCTTCTTCTCATACTTTAAGTCACAATTAAAGCTGATTGTATCTTAATGTACAGAAATTTATTTTGTAATGGCTTGGTCAAGTTTGCCCTCTAGTGGTACAAAATTTGCAAACTGTGGACTCCCAGAAGCCAGTGCAAGAAGGGCACTCTGTAGGGATCACAGCTAATGGATTTCATTTCACTCTTGTCTGATTCATGATTCAGTCTATTTATCAGCATCTACTGTGAGCATGTAACTGTTCAGACAAGACATTTTCTCACCTAGAGGTCGGGGTGAAGTCTGAGTAAGCCTGCATTCCTTGCTGCACCAAAGGGAAGCAGAGAGGAGTCCAGTAATTCTCTAGTCTATGAGATAAGCCCAACAGCTGTTGGTAGGAGTAGTGGAGGCTGCAGTTAGGTTTCCTGGGGTTTTGGTGTATGAATACATTCAGCTGGGTGAAGCACACTTGGTTATGTAGCTCTTTCATTGCAGCCCTGCTTTCTGGTGAGCAAGAGGAAAAAAAAATCCTGTGAATAATATACTCAGGAATTAAGATAAAAATTAGAACATAAAGTTGGACTAAAACTGAGAGGTCTTTTCACATGAAAAAAATCTTTTGGGAATGGAAAGAGGTAATGAAACCCAGTAGCTGTGAAATAGCCATATGATAAACCAGAAACCAATCTCTCACCCAGAGAAATACTGCCATTTTCAAAAATGAGGCATTGGAATAGTATGGCAGACTATGCCGTGTATTATGTTTCTCATCTGATTTTGTAAATAATTTACCCACGTTTGCTTAGTTTTTATTTTTATTTTTTTCTTGAAACATGCCAATTTAGAGGAAAATGATGAAGCTCAATGATTTTGGTGGTGTTAATGCAAATACTAAGGAAAAGAGTGAAATTCAAGAATGAGATTATGTGGAAATTATCAAATATCTTCCTGAGGGGGCTGACTGCGGGTGATTGCACTTCATCTGTATTCAAAACAACCAATGGCTTGTGGCAGTTAGTTTCAAACTGCCTTAGGATGAAGTGCTTGTTGAATTGTGGGAGCGTAATGACAGCCTTATTGGATGAAAGATTTCCAGAGCTAAAATATGAGTTTTGGCACTTCAGTTATACACAACTACAATTGCAGCTAGTAGTACTTGATACAGAGCTGCAGTTAGAACTGGTGACTGGAACAATGCTGCAGGGGTGGATAAAATTACAAAAGAAATTTATATTGCCAATGTATATGTGGCAGTTCAGGCATATTGTCCTGGATAGCTGATCTCAAAATGAACCAGATGCATTATAAAGTATTAGAAGAACAAATAAACAAGCAGATAAACGTGAATATGGCTTAACATTTGTGTTAGGTTTTAGGCAAGGTGATTCTCTGAATGATGTCCAAAAACAATGCCAACAGTAAAGCAGGGGTTTGCAAGGGGAAAAAAATGTCCATTTGTCAACCGCTCTTCACTGGAGTGCTGAAAACATGCAGCATGTCTGTCTGGATGAATGAAAGTGATACTTAAGCATTTGTACCACAAATTACTTAGCCTTAGAATTGGTGTTAGAAGCTTAAAAGAGCAGAGAAGTTCTTCTCAATTACATTTGTTCAAGAACTGTGTAAATGTGGTACTGAGGGACGTGGTTACTGGGCAATATCGGTAGTAGCTGAACAGTTGGACTAGATGATTTAAAGGCCTTTTCCAACCTTAATGGTTCTATGATCTGTATTTATATTAACATCTTACAAATCAATATTGCAGACCAGGATTTTTTCTGTAGGTATTTGTTTGTGTAAGTGTACAGATTTGGTAGGACTGTGTGTCCCACAGAGTGCTGAGCTCTGCCTCTGCTGGTACCTAAACCTAGCTAGTCTGCTTACCCATAACTAGAAAGCCAAACAGGGATGCAGAATTACGTAAAAAATAGCTAGTTCTTTGGGCCTCAGATCTCTTCACAAAAATGAGGTAGAATCATAGAATCATAGGAGCTCCACAGCACTGTACAGAAAAAGCTCTATGGTCCCCTGCACAAGTGAAAATACTGAAACAGAGAGTGACTTGTGATCTCTGCACAAGGGAACTCTCCCAGGGGCTTGTCACTCTGCCTCTCGCTCTGTGCAGGAGGGAGATGTCGGCATCACAGCATTTCTCATGAGTGGAGCAATCCATTTTGTTGATCTACCACCTGGCCCAAAGGTGGGGAGAATGCCAGATTCCCTGTTTGCCTGGTGCTAACCAGCTGGCCCTGGGCATGCTTAGAAGCTTGCAAAGCCAAACTAAAGGCAGGAGGCAGCACAGGAGCTGGCTCTGAGCTGGATGGGATCTGGCAGCCTTACCTGGCCCTGGGAGCTCTGTAATTCATGCAGTTACAGCTGGGGATCTGAGCACTTGGCAAAAGGGGCAACCTGCCTGCCAGATTTATTTTGGTCTGTCAGGCAAGGTCACCAATTAATTTCTCTGGAGCATTTCAGTTTGGTTGTATCAAGATTTTTTTAGTGTGAAGCAGTTGCATTGTAAAGAATTATGCCCAGCTTCACAAATGAAAGTAGAAAATCTGGATGCAGTATAGGTGCTTATACTCAAGGTTGAAATCCCAAATAGTCCCTCCTGTACCTATTAATAGCAAAGTCTGTAACTGCCTGATTTTCTCAACTTCTAACACCGTAGAGATCATCCTTGCATCTGCTCAGAAGTGCTGTAATAGCTACAGGCCTTAGCCCTGTCTCATATACAAGACAGATGAGGAGACTCAAGGTTCTTCTCTCTGCACCTTTAATTTAGTGATACCCACAAAAAAATGCAGGATCTGTGATTACAGTTAGTGATGAAACAGTTCCCACCTATTTGCTTACAATGATTAATGGATTGAACGTTCACCTGAGATGTGAAACCCAAATTGTATCTGTTTTCAGACACAAAGTTGCAACATGTAATACAGCAAGTTGTAAGAAACCATTGGTGCACTACGGAGCATGTTGTGGAGACATCCAAACCAGGATCAAATGGAAATGGTCCAGCCATATTACAGAGTTTAATGGTTATCAGTATATCTGCAGTGAGTCTGAGGTTATGTATAGAGATAAATGTCATGGCAAGGTAAGCATTTCACTGCTGGTTCCTGTCCCAGCCTGAGTCTACATCAGTCTTCCCACAGATCTGTATATCAATCCCAAATTCTCATGGTCGTGAACAAATTTTGATTATTAATAGTTTGCTTTTGAACATATAAGCAGGAATCCAGGAATAAATGTTAGATTATTTTGCTTAAATTTTGCTGCATTTCTTTTGATATAATTATCTTTTTATCAGCTGGTGAGAAAACAAAGCATCTCTTGCTATAGTAAATTTTCTAGCACATGAGAGACAAATATGACCACTGTTAAACAAGGCACTTTAATATTTTTATGTAACCCAACATTCTTTATATATATTATTTACACTTGCAAAGATAAAGATAGTATGTAGAGAAAATAATCTGAAAAAAAATAGAGGTTAGTTAGTTTGGCGTATGTTAGTAACAAACAGACAAAATTTGGTGACTACTTACCATAGTTTGAAATTAATTTTATTACCCAGAAGATTTTAGGAGTCATGAAGGTGCCTTGAAACCACAGAACTGAGAGAGACCGACCCATTTCCCTGGTGAGATAAAGCACAGGTATAGTAAAAGCCAGTGGGTTGTTATTTCAGTACCCCAGTTTAGCACTGTATTTGTTATAGTAACCCTAGCAGAATTCATGCAGGAATTAGGGGTGACTCTTCAAGGATTATCCTATCTTCAAAGCGCACAATTTACGTAAAGACAAAGCGCATCAAAGGCAATAGAGAACGTGATTATCTAATAGCAAGACAAAAGCTGACTTATGCACAATATCATGAGTCTCTGCTAGCTGCTACTGGCAAAGTTTTGGTTTAATTTAGCCTTGATTAGGTAGACAGCAATTGGAGTATTTAAGATAATCTATAGAGTCCTTGGATATTCAAACTCCTTATGTGCCCTGGACTCCATTTGTGCCAAAAATAATCTACCTTTAATATGATTAGTGTAAAAAATATCCTGGGCCCTGAAGCAGTTTGTAATCACAGGTGGGTGGAAGCTACATAATGAAAGAACAGTGAGAAGGAAGTTTGTAGATCTCCAGAAGGCTAACGTTTTCACAGAGGTTTCAGTATGAATTCTGAGACTGCCTGAGTAACTTCCAGCTGCGGTGCTGAGCTGCTTTCTCCTCTGGAGGTTTGTTTCTATAGGTTGGGTAAAAGTTTGCCGGGATGCCCACATTTGTCCTGCTTACAGAATCTGAATGGGCCACTGGGCAATAAGTGGGGAAAGAAAGGGATGGCAGGAAGAAACACGCTACAGATGATGAAGGGAATGCTGTGATCGTATCCATCTGTACATGTATATGATTGCTACTTCTCAAAATCCATCTTAAAGTAAATTTAATTGTGTTGGGACATGTTTGTTCAATGTGAATTGCAGCTAAGTGAACTGCAAGAGAAAAAAAGATTTATTTATTTATTTATTATGTATTAGCACCTTTTCAGGTACCATAATAACAACATTTCAGACTCCTTTAGGAAGGACCAGAAGTACTTTTTGAACATCTTTGGATTTTCTTAGCAAACTGGTCTCTCAGCCCTGCATTATAATTACTGCCTATCCAGCAATGTTGGAAGTGAGAATGTCTTTTGCAGTGTCTTTTTCCTCCAGTGACTATGTGAAATGGTACTCAGGTACAGAATTGTAATGTATTTACAGGAAAAAAAAAAAAAACCCATACGTAGTAATCAAGTATGGAAGATAGAGGGAAAAAAAAAAAAAAAAACCACTTCAAACCTTGATTAGAATTTATATTAAAGTGCCTGGAAAGTATCAGACCTATAAATAAACCCTGGAGATTCAAACCGTTGTTAGTAAATAAAAAAGCCAGTAGATGGCATAGGAGACCTTGTATTCAGCATTCAGCTCAGACGGCTGCTAATAGCTCCCCTTGTCTGCAATCGCCTGCGTTGTCTCTGGGTTTAGCCCTAGCTACTGAATTTGCTAGATTCCCGAGGTTTCTTATTCATGAGCTACACTTAGATCCGCACAGTACATTTATTTTTAGGGACAACTAAAGTTCATTTAATAACTTATTTGAACATGCTGAGTAAAAGCCTGGCTCTGGTGAGTTTAACCACAGACTTCATTCAGTAGGGTTAGAATTGTGTGAGTTATTTTTTTTTTTTTTTTTTTTTTTGATGCTTGTACTGGGGAGCAGGCATTTCGTTTCCAGGAGGGGTCTGATATTAGTGGCTTTGTCCTTTCCTCTCACACTGCAGCTCCTTTCTCTGGAGCACAACAGCCATGCTTTGCTGTGAGTCGCTGTGTCATTCAAAATTAGTAAATCAAAAGAGCCCGGTCTGATGGACAAAAGGTTGGTTGCCTTTGTCTAGGCTCCAGCAGCCTTTTGCCTGTTCCACTGTAATAGCAGGATCCAGTTCTATGTTTTTATGATTAATCTGCTAACATTTAACCAAAACTGACCATGAACAAATGAAGTGCATTGTTTTGATTTTTTTTTTTCCAAATGTATCATTATTATACTATTGTATGAATCTGAAAATGAAAATCTTCAGTCAAGCAATAAAGTATACTTGTGGTTATGAGATCTCGTGGAAAAATTATTTTTCATTTCTAGAATCGCCAAAGAACTTGTGAAAGGTATACGGGACTATAAATTCATAAGCATTTCTGACTACATCAAGTTGGTAAGTAGTGATATCATTCTGATGCAGTAAATAAGGCACAGAAGCCTCCAACTCTTTGCAAAACCAGATTACAGAGCCACAAAGGCAGGATTAGGACTTGAGTGTGGCCCATGTTTAAACCTGCATCATTTTTTTTGACAATTTTTTTTTTTTTTTTTTAAACGATAGTGGAGTGCTATAGTTGTGTGGTCATTTTCCTTGATTTCTACAGCAAAGTCCAAAGTTCATTAATTCATGTTGTTGAGAAGTACTAGAAATGAAAAGTTGAGTGTATAAGAGATCAGACTGTGAAATATGCATTTTAATACTTGGTAGGCAATGTAACTGTGGTTTGCTTTATAAGACAGGACAGGCGTAACTTCCAAATGAGGTTTAAATCTGGAGTCCAGATATCCTCCCAGATGGATTGGAAATATCTACGTGGTGCATTAGACACTCCAGAAGGGCTTTTTTGCACTCACACTGTTACTGCTCTTAATTCTATTGGCAAAATCAGCTAGTTCTCAGTGCCCAGTGCCAACCTCAGGCTTTGCTCACTTTTGTTATGTTTGGATTTTACAGCTGGAACAATCAGTGGAGTCAGACACAGGTACCCTTCTGCCTCAGCAAGAGGGTACCAACAAATTGGAATGGAACAGAGAAGAAAGCAACTCCTTGGTGATGGAAGCAAGAAGAGCTGTGTCTAATGCATGGCTTGAACACTAGGCAAAGGTGTGTGCCTGGGCTTTCTTGGGCTGAGCCTACTCCCAGGCCCTGGCTGTGTTAGTAAGGAGATGGATTGTGAATTCACTGCTCGTGTTCTGCGGTAAAGGGACATGTTTGTCTTTTCTTCCTTGTGTTTGGGACAGTGCATGAACTAAGCATTTCTTTAGGATTGCTGTGTTTAAACCATCACAGCATCCTGCTGGAGGGTGCTTTGCTTCCTTTGAAAAGCAAGGTCGGTGTGAACAGAGTAGCTTCTGCTAGGGGAGAGGGATGTGTGGGGGGTGTACCATGAGCAGGTCACCTTTTTCTGCCATTAGCAGAAGTGAATTTGCTCTTCTAGGGGCTGGGTTTCTGGAGTGGCCTTTGTGTTGGAGCAGGACCTAAAGTGGTGCTTCACCAGGGGCAGGCATGACATGGCACATTGCAGCTTTTAACACTGTACAGGATGTGTTGTTGTTATGTATCATCGCTGTGCGGAGAAGCTAATGTAAAACCACTGATCAGTTTCTCTGAAGTTTTTTTCCAATGATTTTAACAATTTGTAAATAATTTCTGAGAGAAGATATTTGACTTTGTGAGCTGTTTGTATTTGTTGTACTGTACATTCCAGTTTGATCATTGTTAATTAGTGTCATGCCTCTGTGTTTTACAGTGAGAGAATTACTTCTCTTACTAATGGCTCTTTGGTGCTACTAAATTCCTATTCTACTCATTGAGCGTGAAAGTTCCTTTTTCTTCCCTCACTGCATTTCTTCACTACCTTTGACTTATCTGGAGCGGTTGACTGGCAAAAGTTTCTTTTATAAACAAGCAGATTAAAGGGAGAGGTACTGGATTAAAGATGACAGACCACAGTCTGATCCTATGAAAGTCAATGGTAAATCTCCTATAAGCCACAGTGAAAACAATGCCAGGAAGAAAAGGGCTCTCTAGGTGCAATATTAGTGTGATTTTAAAGAAAAGTGGAATGCATCATCTCCCCTCTTGTTTGCAGCTGACTTTTCTGGAGTGTAGCATTTCTAGTGAGTTAGCAAAACACAGCTTTTGTAATAAAGCATTCATAAATTCCCTGTACAAATGAAAATACAGTGTATTGGCCTGAGTTTAAACATCCTTGAGCAAAAATAAATAAATAAATAAAAGCTGTTTAGTAGAGTACTGGCTATCTGACTGAAGGGTCAGTACATATGAAGGTTCTAAAATATAACATACAGATTAAGTAAAGTCTGCATGACTTATGCATGAACCCTTCTGTGCATACTGTAGCCCTGCTCTGCTCTCTATTCTCCAGAGGTGAGAGCTGCTGAGGTGAACAGATGATTGCCATATGACATTTACCCTGTGTCAGAGCTCAGCCCATGAGGCTCTGGGCTTGGACAAACACTTAATAGCTTATTTTCTTCATTAAGTAGTTAAGTAGATGCGGTGCATTGAAGAAAGAGCAGGTCTTATCTAATTCCAAGTTAGTTTCAAGCTAGTGAAAGAAAATAAGAGTACCTTATGTTACTTGTTTTTCTGATTTTGAACAAAAAGCCTTGAGAAATGTTATTCTGTAATTGTTCAGCTATTTAGTCTTCAGTTCTCCTCTTTCTGATAGCTCAGTTTATATTTACAAAGAGAAGTATTTTCTTTAATGACAGTTTCCTGGCAGCATTTGGGTTCAGCACTGCCTTGCCCATACTAAGGCACTTGGCTGGTGGTTGCTGTTGCCTGCTATGGAGCACATCTCACGGCTCACTGCGTGGCTGATTCCTCTACAGGGGAAGGAATATTGTGCCATCACATAAGGTGTGGAGATGCCACCTAATCCTGCTCCCCTGGGGTGGGAGGGAATTGCCTTTCTGTGTAGGCCTACTGAAAGCTAGCAGATTGATAGTCTACTGGTTAAACACACAGTATGACTTACCTCCTTTATTTTAGTTTTATGATGCAATTGATCTTATAAATTTCTTTTTTTTTTTTTTTTTTTTGTATTTGGATATATTTTTGTTCTCTGAAGTTTTTGAAGGCATCATTTTCATAGGCATACAATAGAAATGGTAAACCAAAAAATATGTATATAAAAATCCTATTCATACTTTGAGCTTACGAAGTAACAGCACATCCATTGAAATTTAAATCAAAATGAAGACTGTGTCACACACTATAGCTCTCTGGAAAGCTACAGTGGGAGTCTAGCAGTCCAATTCATTCCTTTGTAGAATGTACTAAGGCTAATGGTCTTGCTGGGAGTAAAATGTATTTTTTGCAGAATGGTTCCAAGAACAGACTTTTCTCAGAAAAACATAAAAGAAAACAAATGCTTACTATGTCTTTAGTATGCTAAATATGAAATTCTTTACACAATGGAATGTTAGCAGTAGCTGTAATCATGTTTTCCTTTCATCACCTAGTGAACGTAATTTTAAGAGAGGACTGCTATAATTATATTTCAGATAAAAAGAAGCAGAATTTCTGGATAGTATTATGGTTGGTTTGATTGTTTTGTTGATAGGGAAAAATAAAGAGGGAGACCACATGAATACTTATTTAATGAACAACATATTTATTAAGCTGTGCAGACTGTACATAATGCATTTGACTTTGGATGCAATAGAGAAATCTTACTTTCTTCAAGCACATTTCTTAGTATTTTATTACAGCTATCACATTCCTTCTTATCTGTCCCGTTACTCAATTATTTCTGTAGTATGTCTATAGCACAACACTAAAGAATTTAGCTTAACTACAGTCACCAGTGCAGGTACAATCAATGTCAGAATCCACAGACTCCACAACATCCTCAGATGCAGATTTCTTATCGCTGCTTCTCTGCCATTCCAACAGGCTTACAGCAGTATCTGTCAGAAGAGAGAAGCTATTGTTAATGAACATCAAGCAAATTAATACATTTCAAGGAACTCCTGTTTTGATGGCTGCCAACTCCGTCATCAAGTAAAGAAAGAAATCCTGCCCCCACAGCTGACATCTCACTGACTCATTGACTTGGAGCAGGATTTTCATCCATGATACAATTACTATAATAATTCCCTAAAACCCAAATGAATAATATTTCATGAAGCACAATGACAACAGGCAGGAGCCAGTGAAAGTGCTGGAGGTAGCCACTTTCAAAGTAAGACCAAGTAAGCAATCTCTTTTAATGTTATTGCTGCATATCACTGCATATTTCAGCTGACTATTTGTCGAAGTTCATCCTGAAGGATAAGCCCTTTGGAGAATTTTCAGAGGTTCATAAACTTCTAATTAAAGTTTCCCATATATTGTGAAATCTGACAGAGCATTGTCAGTTGCAGTATTAACCTTACCACACTGCTTTATCAACAGCTTGAATAAGCCATATCCCTTAATGCTGAAATAATCTAAATGGAATAATAATACTCATCCCCCCAATAAATATTCTTAGATAGTTGAAGGTTTATCGTTGCATCTAGAAGAATATTAGGACATCCATTTAGATTAAGTTTGCATAATGAGAATGGGTAAGGCTTTCATAGTTTTACTTTCAATTTATTTTTTTTTATCCCTCAGTTAGACAAAACATTTAAAGCATGCCATCTTTCATCACAGGAAAATCTGGAGACTGCTGTGTTTGGGCTATATTGGTCACTTATCTGCTGAAATGCTGGCACTCTCCTTGGCTGAATTACTGTCCAACCTCAAGCACAGTTATTTTTTCATAATTATCTTGGTGCCAAATATTTTCCAGAAAGGTTCTTGAGATGCTTTTTTAAAAGAACATCATATTTTCAAGCTGTGAAATGAGATCTGCTATAGAAGTCTGAAATCTGCTATAGAAGTCTGAGTTCTATTCTTTATAAGTGTTAATTCTTGTTATTCATGAAGGTAAGCTGTGGGTCTATCCATGTTGATATCCACACAGGAAATAGTCCCCTGGGCAAACTGGATTGCAGCTGAAAGCCATCATCCACCTGGATAGGATTGGTGGCATGTTTGGCATGTAAACTGGCTTATGGACTTAAGCTAGGTGTAAAGCCTGATGCAGTCAAGATACTAAGGCTATAAGTTCATGGATATGAGGCTAATAGGGGCTAGTCTATAGCCTTGAACTTCATTTTGTCCTTTCCTTACTGGTGACAGTGAAGGGGTCCTTGTCATTTGAGACAGTAGATTATCAAGTCTGAGTTCTCATACAAAGAGCTGAGGAAAGGTTTTTGTTCTGTGCATGCAAATACATGTTCACTGCTTGGGAAAGATGCAGATTTTATTTATGCTGCTCCAGATCGTTGAACAAAAAAGGAAAAAGACAAGCTTTCAAGGGTTGGCCTTGTATTCCTACTGATCTCTTCCTTGGGGAAAAACAATTGTCTTGGTTTAAAAAAGCAAAACCAAACAAAAAAACCTCACATGGCAGCTATTCTCCTTCCTCCTCTCTTTTCTTCTCCTCTTCCAGATAGATAAAATAAGGTCCTTGATTAGGAGTGCTGTTAGCACACTTCCCAGACTCTGGTTCAGTAAATGAACCAGAGAAGTCTGCAGGTGCTGTAAAAGTAGCACTGGTTGTGACAACTAACATACTTTTTTTTTTTCTTCCTGATTCCCACAAGTTTTTGTGAGGGAATGAGACAGCTTTATTACAGCCTAATATTCTGAGGCAGTAAGGGGCCTGGGGTGATGACATTTCAGAGATACAGACTTGGATGCACAAAAAAAACTGTGAAGTATGGATGTGACAAGGTTTGGAAAGAGTGTCTTTTTTTTTTTTGTTGCTGTCATTGAAAGAGCGTCCTTTTCATAAAAGGATGCATCTATTCACTTCTCAGGGAGTTGTCAGAAAACTATTAGCACTTTATCTGAGGTATCTGTTAAATAGACTTGTAGAATGTTGACTATTACAGAAAGATACTCATTTTGGGGGTTG